AATTTTTCTCCACTATCAAGGTGATACCCTTCTGAATGTTTAATCTGATGTCCCATGAATTATGCATTTTTTTTCTACTTTGTGGGGGACGTAATCTATTCCTGTCCCTATATGAGTTCTGAGGATTATTCCTTTAGGTGGGTTTTCCCCCCAGGCTTGGGTGGTTTCTTCTCACGCATGCGCTGATCAGAATTGAGCTGAAGACTCAAAAGGGACCCTCTGTAGATCTCCTGAGCATTCTCTCTGTCCCTCTTTCTGTGTGGAGCTCTCTTCTTTGGGAATTCACCTAAGAATTCCTGGCATCCCCGACTCCTAGTTCTCCTTCTTCAGCTCAGGGGCTCTACCAAGCTCCTCTTGGGGTCCAATTCCCTGAGCTTTGGCCTAGAAACTCTCTCCAGGTAGTAAGCTGGGACAACCACAAGGATCGTATTTTTTGTTCCCCATCTCTCAGGTCACTGTCCTATGCTGCCTGATGTCCAGTGTCTGAAAATCATTGTTTCATATTTTGTCCATTTTTTAGTTGTTTCATGGGGGAGGGCAAATCTAGTCCCTGCTACTTCATCTTGGCTGGAAACAATCACATAGACTTTAAATTAGAAAATATTCTTTATTGCTTAAAAATTGCTCTTGACTCCCAACATATGTTATCTTTTATACTGAGGACTTGGTTTACCATCTTCAATATTAGGGGAGAGGGTTGTCAAGATAGGTGTCAGATGGGAGCTAGCAATTCTTTTTAATGATACTACAGGTATCTCTGTAGAATTAATTAGCTACAGGTTGATTGCTATGATGGATAGCACTGGTCTTGAATTTGGCTTCTCATATAAATAAAATAAAATCTAATTTGCAGTTTGAGCTTCCAGACTCCATTTTATGAAGTCTCTTCTCTTTTTTCACAGCTGCATCTCTGAGGTACATCGTGGGATAAACTTTAGGATAGGTAATCACTAAGAGATCTGTAAGTGTAAATGCAGGCCATTTTATTCTAGAGTAAATGGAAGCCACTTTATTTAGAGTGGCATGAATAAAATAGATTAAAAAAAAAAAAGATTTTATTTTAGAGAGAGAGAGCATGCACACATGTGAACCTGGGGAGGAACAGAGGGGAAGGGAGACAGAGAGAATCTTCAGCGGACTCCATGCTGAGCGCAGAGCCTGATTCGGGGCTCGATCCCTCAACTCTGAGATCATAACCTGAACCAAAACCAAGAGTCGACTGTGCCACCCAAGTGCTCCTAAAATATATCTTGAGACAAAAGAAAAGGAAAGAAAAGGAAAACCCACAAATTTGGGGATGTGCCACAAGTCATCGAATAATGTTGGAAACTCCTTTTGACAACTGGCAGAAGTTTTTATTTGGCCATGTACTGTCTATTTCATCGTTTTCAGTGACGGAAAATGTGTAGGAAACACCTTTTTATTTTTAATAATTTTTTTATTATGTTATGTTAGTCACCATTCAGTACATCATCAGTTTTTGATGTAGTGGAAATACCTTATATGGGGGGAAAAACCCACTAAAAATCATTTCTAAATCATTTAATTATTACTTTATAACTGTTAGGGTACCTCTGACCGTATGATTAAATCACTGTCACATTTGTCGATCTTCTAATATTTTTGACTCTTTTTTTGGCTTCACCGTCCCTCCTTCCTTCAGGCCAGGTCTTCCCATCGATTTCTGAAGTCTGTAACTGCTACAAGGCACTGAGAAACTGGGCAGTACATGCATTCATTGATTCATTCAATAACCTTGCATAAATCATCCAACCTCTTTGAACCTCATTTTTCCTATCTGAAAAATAGAGATAATAATCATACCAATATTGAAGGAATTTTTTGATAAGAGTAAGTGTGTGTGCATGCATGTGCACGCTCGTGTGTGTCTACTCCAAGAACAATGCCTGAGTCAAAATGGAAACCGAGTAAGGGATAGCTACTATTTATTTTGCTCAAACATCCACTCTCTGGGAAGAAGTATACATATTAATAAAATGTCTGTAATACCTCTTCCAGTGACTGATTGCTCTTCTGAAATATATCATGATGAGATTTTCAATGTCGGAGACTTCATCTATTAATAGCACAACCCATAAGAAAGGTCATTTGTTGAGGCTAGAGAGGAATTGCAAAAAAAACACAAAAAACAAAAAAACTGTCTTTCATCTCCATGGATTTGGAATTTTTCCCATCTAATAGAGGCAACAGAATCAGTGATATTTATCTCAGCTAAAGTCTCAGATATGATTGCTGAGATTGGCACTTACCAAGCCCATGGTCCTGATTTTGAATCAATTCCCCAACAAGAGAGTTGACTTAAAATTTGTATTCCTCTGCCAAAGAGCATTCAGATTTGGGTTGTCTGGTTTCAAGTGAACTATCTTTCAAATTTGAAATATATCATGCACTGACAATGTTATGACTAATGGGTGCAGGGATCCATTCACCTTGCATATGTAAGTTCACTTTGCTAGTATTAAAATTGTCACCTGCCAACCTGGAGTGGCCTGCTTCTTTCTTCAGTCTCTCCCTACCCTCTGCATATGGGGCCTGGTTTCAGATTACACCAGGAAAACTCCTGAGAGGGTTGTGAACCTACATATGCCATACGATGGAATATTATTTGGCCATAAAAAGGAATGATGTACTAACACATGCTACGGAGTCGATGAACTTTGAAAATATACTAAGTGAAAGAAGCCAGACACAAAAGATCACAAATTGTAGGATTCCATTTACATGAAACATCCACAATAGTAAATCTACAGAAACAGCAAACAGGAAGTGAGGTGGGGGGGTAGGGGTGCTGGGGTTTCCTTTCGGATGGATGAGAATGTCTTGGAACTAGAGAGTGATGGTGGTCACACAACATTGTGAATGTATTAAATGCCTCTGGGGCGCCTGGGTGGCTCAGTCGGTTAAGCGACTGCCTTCGGCTCAGGTCATGATCCCGGAGTCCTGGGATCGAGTCCCACATCAGGCTCCCGGCTCAGCAGGGAGCCTGCTTCTCCCTCTGACCCTATCCCCTCTCATGCTGTTTCTCTCTCTCTCTCAAACAAATAAATAAAATCTTAAAAAAAAAAAAAAAAAGGTGTAGAGTTTTAAAAAAATAAAATAAAATAAAAAATAAATGCCTCTGAATTGTTCACTTTAAAACAGTTATTTTGGGGGTGCCTGAGTGGATCAGTTGCTTAAGCAGCTGACTCTTGATTTTGGCTCAGGTCATGATCTTGGAGTCCTGAAATCAAGGCCCACGTCAGGCTCTGCACTCAGTGGGGAGTCTGCTTGAGGATTATCTCTCTCTCTCCCTCTGCCCCCCCCACTTGTACTTTCTCTAATAATTCTCTTAAAAAAAGTTAATTTTATGTCAATGTCACCCCAATTTCTAAAAAAAAGTGCTATCTTAAAATTAATGCACGGGTTTTAAGTGCACAACTTGATGAGTTTTAACTAGTGCATTACATGTGTAAACAAGGCCCCTATCAAGAATAGAGCATTGCCATCACTCCAGAAAGTTCCCTGGTACCCCTTTTCCTACCACACTATTAACTCCCCACAGGTTATTTTCCTCTGTTCTTGAACTCCACGAGTTGCACTGTGTGTACTCTTTTGCATCTGGCTTCTTTTATGCAACATAATTTTTTTGAGATTCATGTTGTTGAATAAATCAGTAGTTTCTTTCTTTTTATTGCTGAATGGCAATACTTCAGACCAGCTTATCTGATCTTCTATTGAGAGACATTTGGGTTGTTTCCAACTCTTTATTATGATGAAGAAAGATGCAACAAACGTTTTTGATGAGCATATTGTTTTATTCGGGGGGACTATCTAGGACTGGAAATGCTGAATCGAAGGTAGATATATGATAACTCACAAGAAACTGTTGGTGTCCATAGCAGTTTGTACCATTTACACTCACACACGTCAAATGTGAAAGCCCCAATTGTATAACCTCTCCGACATTTGGTCTTGATTGCCTTTTAAATTTTAATTATTCTAGTGCTATCTCATTGTCTTTAATTTGTATATGCATGATGAAATGGTATCTCCTTGTCCTTTTTAGAAAGTCAGCTTCATATACTTACATACGATAAAACTCTCCCATCTGGAGTGTATAATTCGACTACTTTCAACAAATGTACAGTCATCCAACCACTACCACAATCAAGATAACAGAGTATTTCCAACACACCCCTGAACTGTCAATCCCCACCCTCATCTACAGTCTCTGGCAACCACTGATATGCTTTCTGTCACTACAGTTTGCCTTTTCTAGAATGTTATATAAGTGGAATCATAACATACGTAGTTCTGGTGCGCCTGGGTGGCTCAGTGGGTTGGGGGGCTACCTTAGGCTCAGGTCATGATTCTGGAGTCCCGGGATCAAGCTCTGCGTCAGGCTCCCCACTCAGAGGAGAGTCTGCTTCTTCCTGTGACCCTCCCCCCTCTTGGGCTCTCACTCTCTCTCTCTCTCAAATAAACAAATAAAATCTTAAAAAAAAAAATGTACATAGTTTTTTGTTTCTGGCTTCTTTGATTTAGCACAATACTCTTGAGATTCATCCATATTATTGCATGTATCAGTTGATTTTTTTTTTTTGAGAGAGAGAGAGATTGAGAGAACGAGAGAGAACGTGAGTGCACATGCCAGGGCAGGAGGCCAGGGGGAGGCAGAGGGAGAGAATCCTAAGTAGGCTCCACACCCAGCACCAAGCCAACGCAGGGCTCAGTCTCGGGACCCTGAGATCATGACCTGAGCCAAAGTCAGGAGTCAGACACTGAACTGACTGAGCCACCCAGACCACCCAGGAGCCCCAGTTTATTCCTTTTTTATTCCTAAGTAGTATTGAACAGATATATCACAATTTATTTATTCAGTACGTGTTGGATATTTGGGTTGTTTCCAAGTGTTTGCTCTATGAATAAAGCTGCTATGAACATTTGCATGCAGGACTGAATTGCTGGGTCATATGCTAAGAGTATGTTTCACTTTACAGGAAACTACCAAGCTGTTTTCCAATGTACCATTTTGCATTCCCACAAGCAACGTATGCATTCCAGTTGCTCTGCATCCACACTGACGCGTGGTATTTTCAGCCTTTTTCATGTGAGCTATCCTACTACGTAAGTGGTGTCTCCTTGTAGTTTTTCTTGTACTTTGGTTTTCTTTTGTTTTGCCCTTTTCTCACCCCCACCCCCTCTGTCAAGGGCTGACTTGCAATAGATCCCGATGAGGGAATTGCTCAGCTACATAGCACCCCAGACCCAGAAACAGGTTCTCTACAAACAGTTCAACACCAGGTTCTCCTTGAATGTGCCTTGCATGGCATGCGAGGACGAGGCTCCCTTTCCAGCCACACCCGTGTCTCTGGAGGAGCGGCTCTCTGCTCGGGACGCCGCCCAGGGTGCACCTGCAGCAGACACCTGGGAGAACAGGTGGAGGCCCAGCCACGCTGCCCTATCATTTGGCCTCAACATTCTTAGAGGTTCAGTCATATTCGTAGATGGTAGCTTCCCCCATTGGCTCATTGAAGAACATACACCAAATCTCTGAACCTGCATCATTATAGTTTTTTTTTTTTTTAAGATTTTATTTATTTATTTGACACACACAGAGAGAGAGCACAAGTAGGCAGAATGGTAGACAGAGGGAGAGAGAGAAGCAGGCTTCCCGCTGAGCAGGGAGCCCGATGTGGGACTCGATCCCGGGACCCCGGGATCATGACCTGAGCGGAAGGCAGACGCTTAAGGACTGAGCCACCCAGGCGCCCCCCACTTTTTTAAAGTTTTATTTAAGTAATCTCTACACCCAACATGGGGTTTTAATTCACAATCTGGAGATCAAAAGTCACATGCTCATCTGACTGAGCCAGCCAGGAAACCCTAGAATCTATTTTAAATCTGAACTGTATGTTATCAGACACTTTGCCTAATTTTTTCCATACATCCTCCCCCCCTCCCCATTTAACCCTCATAACTAGCCAATGAAGTATGGTTTGGTCTCCCCACTTCACTAATTGAAGCGTGGAGAGAAAAGAGCTTTTCAAATTGTGTTAGCTTTTCCAGTGACAGTCCCTCGCATTCTGTGTCCAAGTCCATTATAATAAAGGCACAAACGGGTTTTAGAAAACAACTATTGATCCTTCTCGTGTGCTTTCATCTATGTAAGAAATCTGCCAAGAGCAACATATGATTGCTTGCAGCTTTCATTGCTCCGAAGCTGATGAAAGGTCACGTCAAAAGAGCATCTATTGATCCCTGGACATTAACGAGGATGAAAACTCTGCTGGGGGTGGGGGGCGGGGTCCAAAGGCCAAGAAGGTTTGAGAGGCTGGATCAGAATCACAAGTGGCATGAGATAGAGGTCCCTCAGCTACACATCTCTGAAAAGTCTCAAAGCAGTTGGGGGATTCAACCAGTAAGTACACAGCTTAATCTTAGGTCTTAAAGGACAAATCCAGAGGAAACGAGAAGGGGAGGTCCCCCAGCTGCCTTTGGTGCCCCCCCTTATTTAACTAATTCAGCTGACAGGACGTGGAATTACCTACCATGTGCTGGGTTATCCACCTTCTTCACTGGCCCAGGGCTGGATGGACTCAGGGGGCAGCCCGGTGTGTCGTTCAGCCATGGTGAGAGGGATAGTCGCCCTCAACGAATAGCCTAAGAGCTTAAGAATGCACCTGTAACAACTGTCCTTGGCACAGCTGTTGGGTCTGTGCATGTTCTTGGCTCCAGCTCCAGTTCAAGGTCTCCTGCTTTCTGGACCCTGCTCCTCCCCCTTCAAGCCACCAGGTCCCCAGTGCTCCCCTGCTCTCCCTTTTCTATCAACGTTTCTCTTGGGATAGGGCTGAATAATTTCATTCAATTCACATACTTGCAATGCTTAATGTGTTTCCTGTCCCAGGGAATTTATATTCTGTAAAATATTTTATTTATTTGATGGAGAGAGAGAGCACAAGCAGGGGGAGCGGCAGGCAGAGGGAGAGAGAGAGAAGCAGGCTTCCCACTGAGCAGGGAGCCCGATGCGGGGCTCGATCCCAGGACCCTGGGATCATGACCTGAGCCAAAGGCAGACATTTAACCAACGGAGCCACCCAGGCGCCCCAAATATTCTGTAAAATATTAACTGAAGAAACCCTCAATGAAGAGTAAAACAGTAGAATGAATAATGCTGGTAGTGTTTGTGTGGGGGTGATGAGGTATATAAAGCCTGTTCTGGCCTTCCTCACCTCTAAAACGTCTCAGCTGCTTCACTTCCCCTGTGGAAAGGGCTTTACGTTTCTTGCCTGCCTTCCCCTAGCCAAGGAACAGGGCTTGGACAGCAAATGGAGAAAGGAGTGACCGTGTTATGTATTAAGTTCCCTTTATGTCCTAAGTACTTTTACTATGTCTTGCTTAATTTTCACAGCCCTGCAATGTAGGTATTATTTTCGTGTTATTTAAAACACGTGACTTTAGGGGTGCCTGGGTAGCTCAGTCGCTTGGGCGTCCAACTCTTGGTTTCAGTTCGGGCAGTGATCTCGGGGTGGTGGGATTGAGCCCCGCATCAGGCTCCACGCTCAGTGCGGAGTCTGCTTGAGATTCTCTCCCTCTCCTTCCTGCCCCTTGTTCATGTGTGTGTGCTCAAATAAATAAATAAAACCTTAAAACAAAACACTGGACTTTAAAAAGTTAGATGATATGCCCAAGGTCACACAGCAGAATCGAGATTAGAATCCAAGGTCAGACTACATGGTCCATGTGCTCTTCCTATCACAACACCACCTCTTCATCAGTATGCATTCTAAATTAGTTTCTGATCAATCCTGAGTGAATCCGAAGTGAACAGGAATAGTGACCACCCTCCATGCCCCCACCCCAGATCCCTACTCCATTGATCCAGAAACACCCTGTGTTTCACCCTGGTCTCCAAACAGGGACTGGGTGTAAGTCATCAATTTAGAAGAACAGTGGACACGTTCTGACATTTACCCTACTATAGCTCCAAAGTTAAAACTTTTCAAAAATTTCATTACTTCCCCCAAAGTCCTTATTTAGCTGAATACCTTATACCGTGGGTATTCATTGCTAAACATGTATGCTGAATGCTCAAGCAAGATTCAATTTTCTCTCAAGGGTGAAGGGGAACTATAAGCCCCATTCCTTTCTCCCATCCGGCAAAACACCCACACCTTCAGATGCTGTGATGGGATGGAAATTAAAAATAGTGTCCTCACAAAGATGCTTTAAACTACTAAGGACACTTATTTTCATTACTTGCTTAACTAAGTCCTTCTCCCAACCCCCATTCCCACGCTGCCACAACGCCGGTCCCCTCCCCCTTCTCATTACGGGGGGGGATGCCATCTGGGGACACTCAGAGGGCGGGCCGAAGACTTCAAGTTGCTTTCCAAGGAGCAAACCAGCACGGCCGGGCCTCCGGACCAGAGCCCTCGCCCCAGACCAGCCACCCCAAAAGTACTGAAGCAGGTGGCCAGCTCTGTTAGGAAGGCGAAGGCCGGGTCCTGCCCCCGTCACAAGGTTCTTTCGACCCGGCACTAGGGTCCTGCATGCAGGTGGGACGGGGGGAGCTGGCTTCAATTCTATCAGGGATTTAACCAGACTGCCAGGGCCTCTCCGCTGGGCCTGACTTTGACGTCCTTGCTGCTGAGGACTTTTCCACCAAACTTTCTTCACAATTGTCAACATGGCCTAACGAATGGCCAGCGCAGCCATCTACTGGGTGGCCTTGAACCCAGGCAGGCCTCTCAGTGACTTTTCTATTGCTCCATCCCAACTCGCCACTTAGAACTCCAGGAGCTCTGAAGCAGGGTGATGATCTTTCCAAAACTCGGAGAACGCAGGCAGAGGGCCTGGGGCCAGGGGGCTGCGCGCTGGGCGCTGCTGCTAGAAAACCAGAGACTACAGGGCTGGGGAGGGGGCGAGCAGCTCCCAGGAAGTGCTGGCTGGAGGAGGAGCACAGTTCGAGGGAAAAGCACCTTTCTGATCCGCACTATCACACCGTGCGCTTCCCCTGACGCCATTCTGCCCCAGGAGAGAAGCAGAACGCCCGGTTCGGGAGCTCGTGTTCTTCGTAGGCACTGTTCACTCAGGCAACATCCCACACTCGCCATCTTACTGGGTCTTGGGGAGGGAGGCAGATTCAGTTAAGACTATGAGAGTTTCGTCAGCGGTCCGGCTAGAAGGCCATCCTACAGGGGTGACTGCTCCTGAAACCCACCTGCCACGCCACCAGACTCCGCTTGCCCCCGTGACCTGGGAGCCAGACCCTGCTAACCAGAGACCGTGAAGGGAGTAAGCAGAAGCCGAGACTCCCTCTGTGTTGTGGGGACATGAAATCACAGCTCCTGCCCTGGATTGTGTCCTTCGATGGATGGACATAGACAACAGCAACTGATTATCTGGGCTCCTTCCCTGGGGCCACAGGAAATTTGCAAAGCTCACAAGACCTCTCACCTCACAGAGCGCTAAGAACTAACATCCATGAGAGAGAGAGAAGTCCAGAAGGTTGGACAGGTGGTGATGTGAGGTCAGAATACGAAGGCTCAGGACTGCTGGCTGCTGGGTATATGAAGGAAGCGAAGCCCCTAAGACTAGGATGACAGGAAGTGGGTTTATCGTGTATGGCCTCTCCCTGCCTGTCTACTGAGGAAGACTGAAGGTTTCTCAAAGTGTCCTCAGGACAGGGTGTGGGGTGCCGGGACTGAGGGTGAGATCTGAGGAGATAAGGACCTTTGGAGGGACCTCCTCAATTACAGGCAAAGGACTTCAGGCCCAAATGTGTTCAGCGCGGTTTCTCCTCTAGAGCTGTGACTTCATCACCGTACCAAGGTCGAAAACAAACCACACACAGCTCTCTGAAGTTAGAAACCAAACCCTGCTTTATAAGGCTGAGTGGCCATCAGTGGCTTCTCTGTGAAGATATAAGGTACCAGCCAGTGAACCTTCCTCACCTTCTCCCCATTCCCACATTCCCACCACCCCTCCAGATACCCATCTCTGCAATTCAACCACTTCAAAAAAAAAAAAAAAAAACTTTGAGGAAGGGGCTGGGGCTCAGGCTGGCTGGCCAGCCAGCCGGCCGGCCAGTTCCCATGAGGTAGCTAACACTGGTGCTCCTAGGCAGGGGCGAGTGGAGGGAGGCCAGTCATGGGCTCACAGCAGCCAGGAGTGAGTCACCGGTTGACTGGGAGGTGGGGGAAGCAGACAGTCTCGAAGTCTGCCCAGAGTACTTCATCAGAGGTAACATCTGGGTGGAGACGCTGGGCTCTTTGCTGGTGTCCTCACTGTCCCTGGAAGAACTGGGTTTCTCGGGGACAGGAGAAAGGCCAGCTTGGGTCTTCTTGGGCTTCGGGATGGTCCCGTCTTCAGAGAGTGGTATGCTTCCCTCGGAGAAGCTGTGTTTTCTGAAGGAAACAGGGGGGGAAAGAAATGGCTGAGACGGCCGTGTAGCTGGGACTTCAGCCTATGATCTGCCTTCAGAGTCTGGAGCAGGCATTCACGACCTTGCAAGGCTACACACCATCGTTATACGGAGAGAGAGAGAGAACGATAAAATACATCTTCTTTATCTGAAGGCTGGAGAGCTTGGTGCAAACGGGAACGTGTGAGAGGAGACCTCAAGGAGCCCACGGGCAGTGGGCACAGCTGAGAGACCTAACCCGGCACTCCGGCTTGACTGTGCCAGGAAGATGGGGAGCCACCAGGCAGAGGAGACGGGTGGCCACATAGTCCACGCCCCCACACCCCCAAACGGAGAACGCTGATCTCATCATAATGTGGGAAGAGACGAAGAAGAAAACTCCCTGAACTCACACCCAACACCCTTCCCTTGCCCAGACAGCACTCACCCCAGCTTGCCAGTCTCTGATTTGGAGAGAGCACTGAGGGCCACATCCCCCTTTGGGACGGTCAGAAGTGATGTCGGGAGAGACCACTAAAAACAAAGGAAGCCGTGAGGCCAAAAGGGCTAGGCAGAAGTCAGGCGGGAGTCTTTAGGCTCCTGGAACTCTCTCCCGGCTCTACCTCTGAGTGATCATGGGGCTCTCCTCTTCCCTATCCTTCAGGCATGGGCCCATCTGGGACAAAAATCTGTTTTCTCCAGATTCAGACAAGAAGTTGAGGCTACAGGGGCGCCTGGGTGGCTCAGTCATTGAGCGTCTGCCTTCGGCTCAGGTCATGATCCCAGGGTCCTGGGATGGAGCCCCGCATTGGGCTCCCCGCTCCGCGGGAACCCAGCTTCTCCCTCTCCCCCTCCCCCTGCTTGTGTTCCCTCTCTCGCTGTGTCTCTCTCTGTCAAATAAATAAATAAAATCTTTAAAAAAAAGAAGTTGAGGCGACAAAGCACTCTTTGACCCTTGAAAGAAAGGCAGCCAGGGAATCCTGGAGGCCACTATTCCAGTGAAAGGGAAGGGTCAGGAGACACAGAGGCAGGGCCTAGGGGAGAAGTGAGAGGGTCTGAACCTACATCCAATCCATGCTGCACTCTTAAGGTGGAGGACTGAGGGTGCTGACTGGAGTTGCCCCCTCCCCCGCAATGGCGTCACTCACCACTGGAGCAGAATCAGAGATGGCTCCTGTGTGGAACCCTTTGTAGCACCAACTCCGAAGCAGATCTACTCCTAGGACAAGATTAGCAGGGGTGGGACATAAGAGGGTGGAATCAACTGGTCAATTCTCCTTGTCAGGGAGGCCCATTTCTTGGTCTACTAGGATTTAATCACTCATTAAACATGGCCTCCTGTGGACAAGGAGGACACATCACCTTTGAGCTTGTTGCCATGGTACTTCTGTTCCCATTGGGTGGTGAGAATGTTGAAATATCGTGGCTGCTCAAAAAAGCGGAGATAGCGAGAGGAGATTCGGGAAGGAAAAATTCGTTCAAATTGACCACGGCGAGAAAACTCATCCTCCATCTCAACCAGAATCCGAACGTCATCTGGCGTCAGGACATCCAGCACAGATGCATAGAAGTCCTAAGGCCCAAGGAATGGAGAGGAAGAGAGTGTGACAAGAGGGTGTGAGCTGGAGGCAGAGGATCAAAAAGCTGGGGGACGGTGAGCACAGCTCTGAGGTCCTAGGGCTCCAGGACTCCCAAGGGAACACCAAGGCTGACTAGTGGGTCAGCTCAGGACCTTGTCTGTTCCCAAGCCTACTGACCTTTGCTGTCTGGAGAAGATACTCTTGGTCTGGGTGGGGGAGCCCCTGGAGCACAGAGGTTTTAAAAGGTTGGCTGGATGGAGTCAAGACCAGAATCTAGCAACTGAGATCTGGCAGCCGCCTTCGGTTTGCTACTCTCATCTGCTCCAAGAAGACATCAAGCCTCCCCGGGGCTCACTGCACCTCAAGAAAGAAACCCAAAGGGTCTACGGCTCTGACAACAGGGGATGGCTAGTACAGCATTTGGCTAAGAGCTGTGGTTGGCCACGTGATAAAGGCCATCAACTCTCCCCTGGAACCACACATATGCCAGCAGATCCCTGCACACCAAGGGACCCCGGAGCTGGGTTAGAGAGAGGGAAAACTGCTTGCCTTGGGCTCCTAAATGTTTCACCAGGGAAACTTTCTGTTGGCACTTGGGGGTGGAGGGTAATCTCCTACCTGATCAGGAATTTTCTGGGTCAGATAATAGGCTTTCTTCATCTTCTGTGCAGTGAAATGCTCTGGGGCCGTTCGACATTTATCCCTGGGGGAGCTGGGCAGGCTAACACAGGGGATGGAAAAAAAGCGAAGTGTAAGGTCAGCAGCTTCACATCCTGAGGACATGTGGAGAGGGGGTCCATCTCAGGACCCTTAGCTTAGCTGGAGGAGGAAGACAACTCTTGGTTGGGGTCAGGGGACTCACTGGGGCACCAAGGTTAAGTGGTTTGTTGGAGGGAGTCATCCCCTTCTCAAGAGAAGACAAAGAAGTTTGAACAGATATTTGTTACTCAAGTAGATGAGACTGCAGTGTACCTACTCAAGTAGCCTGTCTGAGCATCAAAGATCAAGTACCACGGAATAACTAGAAGAGTACAAGGCACGCTCTCTGGGTTGCATGCCAGTGGTAAAAAAAGAGGACTCTGGAATAATCGCTGTGTAGGTCAGTTTAGTTGAATTTGGTGGACACCTCCTAAATACCCAGCTCAGCACTGGCTGCGCGACGCTGGGCACACTACAGGACTCCCTGCCCAGTTTCCTCATCCACATCACTACAACTACTGCTGACAGACACGAAGATGGCCTCCACAGAGCTCACAGGATGGCAGGGGTCAAGTGACAGCCACAGCACAGAGCCACACCGGAGTCTACGAGGCATGGTGGGGAAAGCAAGTGTTGTTCCCAGAAAATCAGGATTGGAATCCCAGCTCTACCACTTTGTAGCTGAATAACCATGGGTGTGCTGCCTAATCCCAGTGATTTCGTCTCCTCATCTGTCAACTGAGGATACTAATACCAACCTTATGGGGTTGTGGTGGAGATAAGTTACAGGCTTCTCCTTACACACAGCAGGTCCCAACTAAATATTAGCTCCCTTCCCTCAAGAGTGCTTCCAAGAGGTTCGGGCTGTGGTGGAGAGAGCCCACGTGGAGCTGGCTTCATGAAGATGATGCCCTCAGCTAGGCTCCCATGGGTGGGTGAGGTCCCAACAGGGAGGTCTGACTGAGGGCAATGTCATGAGGAAGCAACCCCATGAGCAGAGGAGGGGACACTATGGAGGGACAGTGAGAAGCCACACACATTTCAGAGAGGAGACTCGATTCGCTGATCCTTCCAACTCTGAGGTTCTAGGAGTGACTGTTTTGTCAGAGCACAGGAGCCAGGAAGAGGAGTAGAGGGAGGGGCGCCTGGGGAAAGGAGGCTGGGGCCCCGAATGTCCCTGCGAGGAGTTAAAAGCTGATTCCCCAGGCCCTGTGGAGATTCCTGAGCTGGGAACAATATAACCAGCAATGCTTTTAAGGGGCACTGATGTGGGAAGAGGTGTGCGGGAAGACTGTGGGAGCAGACTGTGCAGCACGGGAGACCCAGCAGGAGGGGGCGCCCGGGCACCCTTCCTTCCCACAGTCCCCATGGGGCTGCTCATGCTGCCGGCCGACCTGGCGCTGGAGCTGCCGGAGCTGCTGGAGCTGGACACGACATCCTCTGCGTTGGGCAGAACAAAGCCTGCCAGGTTCAGAAGGTCCCGGATCATCTGGCCTTTGATGCTGATGTCCAGTGGAGAGTTGGAGTGGAGGCTTCGGAGAAAGGGTACAAGGAGTAGTAAAGCGGTTTCCGGCTATACGCCCGAGTCAGTGCTAGCCCTGTGTGTACCCTGCCTTCCCGACTCCTGAGCACCACCGTGGGGGACTTCTTGCCCCCCAGAGAGTGAATAACCTCACTAGGGTTGGTTCCTGACTACGACCTTTGTTTGCTAGGGGAAAAGCATGTGGTAGGGATCAAGCTGGAAAGAGCAACTTTTTTTTTTTTTTAAGATTTTATTTATTTCTTTGACAGAGAGAGACACAGCGAGAGAGGGAACACAAGCAGAGGGAGTGGGAGAGGGAGAAGCAGGCTTCCCGTGGAGCAGGGAGCCCGATGTGGGACTCAATCCCAGGACCCTGGGATCATGACCTGAGCCAAAGGCAGACACTCAACAACTAAGCCACTCAGGCGCCCCTGGAAAGAGCAACTTTTAACAATCTCTCTCCATCCTCAAAAGAAGCTTGAGATCATGGCCAAGAATGAGCGAAGGAGCGAAAAACAGATCACAAAGGGAAAACACAAATTCTAGCGCAGGAAAGGTCTTCCCAAAGTCAGCGAGGCCAGACTGGAAAGAGGACCGTGAGGATACAGGCAGGGTTGTACTCTGAGCGCCCTGAGAACTGCACCTACCTCGGGGAGATGTTGACCTCCAGGACCCAGGGCTTGAGGTTCTCATCCAGCATGATGTCAAAACCGAAGAGCTCGTGGCAGCTGTACGGCCGCCGCACGTACATCTTCAGCAGGCTGGTCACATAGGGTTCGGACCTGGTCACGGGGAAGGCCAAGTCTTCAGCCCAGCTCCTCCCGGAGAGCCCTACCTACACTGCCCAGAGATGGGAGAACAGAAGCACCCCAGGAAAAGCAGCTCCCAAGAGATGCCTCCGATCTGGAGCCAGCTTCTGGAGAGGAAGTTCAGTAAAAGAGCAGAATTCCATCCACTCCTTCCTATTCCCTGTCCTCAGAAACTGAAAGACAGCGTGGTCGGCGTCTGGGGCGCAGCCGTGTGGAGGCCCATGAGCCAAGGGGTGCAGTGGCAGGCCCCACACCCAGGGTGGTAGTGTGACTCACGAGATGATGGTTTTGACAACAACATCCTTTATCTTCTCCCAGATGGCATCACTATTGACTCCCTTCTGGCTCAGGTAGTTCCATAAAGCCTTCAGTGCCCTGCAAAGCAGGGGGGAGGGGGAGGGAGTGTCTGGGGTTATATTCTATGAATGGGTGATGAAGAAAAGAGAAAAGAAAAGGGAGTAAGAGGTCCAAAGGCGTTCTCTCCATGTCTCTTCTTTTGAGGTTTTCAATTAAGAAAGAGAGGAGCTTGGGCGCCTGGGTGGCTCAGTTGGTTAAGCGACTGCCTTCGGCTCAGGTCATGATCCCGGAGTCCCTGGATCGAGTCCCGCATCGGGCTCCCTGCTCGGCAGGGAGTCTGCTTCTCCCTCTGACCCTCCCCCCTCTCATGTGCTCTCTCTCTCAAATAAATAAATAAATAATCTTAAAAAAAAAAAAAAAGAAAGAGAGGAGCTTGGATGGAAACAGACCAGTTCTGAATTGCCCAGTGTTTACATAACCTTTGGGTTTTACATCAATCCTCCACTGACCCATGCCCCTGAACCTCCCCAAAGCCCAGAACCCTATGTTCCCCTAGGCCTCTGCGTGACGGGGACGCCGCCTGGGTACCATTTGTGGCCCTGGCAGGCCGTTTCATCGGCATTGGCCTGGTACTCGGCATTCTTTTTATTGACACTGTAGTTGGTCAGGTGCATGAACTTGTTGCCAAGGCTCTTCATGGAAGGGGAATACCTGGAAGTGAGGAGAAAGGCAGAGGTAAGACAGGGAGACGGCAGGTGGACATTTCCCCAAATCCCGAGGCAGTAAAGGACAGACAGATCTTTTCAGATGCACAAGAGTCTGATAAGTATGTCTATTGGTAAGGTTTCTAGAATACCACAGCTCCATTATCATGAGCCGCTCACAAAACTCAGGAAACCAGTTTACTTCTGTTTACTCGTTCCTTATAAAAGGAGACGACAAAGGATACAGATGAACAGCCAGGTGGAAGAGAAGCGTAGGGCAAGATATGTGGGACTCATCTCCTTCATCCCACCTCAGTCCTGCAGAAAGACCCACCCCACATTCAGTGAGGTCGAGAACCTTCTCATTTCCTCTTCCCCATGTGACAATGCGATTTATAATAAGAAACTTACATGTGTGTCTCTGCCCCTGGTTCCTGGCACAGAGTTCCTAAATCCCGTATAAATTCTTCAGTGATAAGAGCACTATAAGAGCATCTTTTGACTAATATTTGGTCTTTGACCCCAACTCCTGAAACCCTTGTAATTTCCTGGTGATAGGAGTGTCTTGTGTTCTAATGAGGTGACTTTGGGTGGGCTCCTGGATAGGGTCTGATCACTAGACAAACCAAGCCATGGTTAGAAGCTTGGAATTTTTGGCCGCGCCCCCCTCTTAAGAGGGAGAAAGGCTAAAAACAGAATTAACGATCAATCATGCCTATGTGATGAAGCCTCCATAAAACCCCAAAATTACAGGGTGCGTGTTCTGGGTGGGTGAGCCTGTGGCACGTGCTCGGAGAGTGGTGCCCAGAGAGGGCAGGGGAGCACTGTGCCCTTTGCCATACACGCTGTCCTGTGCCTTAGCTCCTCTGACACCCCACCTTGTCTCTTCTATCTGGATGATAGCCTGTAACCGAACTTTACCATCTCCTTTTATGATGAGCTGCTCTGGCAAATTAATGGAAGCTGAGAAGGGGGTCCCAGGAACCTCTGACTTCTAGCTGACCAATGAGAAGCACAGGGGGCACCCGGGTTGGTGACAGGCGTCTGAAGCAGGAGGAAGGGGCAACCTCGTGAGATGGAGCCCCAAGCTGGGAGCTCGGACCCTGGTGGGCGGGTGGGAGGGGGGCGCGTTGCTAGTGTCAGAAGCGGAGTTAAAATGCAGGATACCCAGCTGGTGTTGTAGAGAACTGCTTCCTGTGGAGAAAAGCCCCACGCATTTGGTGACCAGAAGTGGCGGAAGTGAAGTGTTCTATGTAATAGGAGACACACAAGAGGAAAGGAAGATTGGGTTTTCCAGATATACCCCTCCTTCTCCTTTGCCAACAAAAACTACCACAACGTGTTGTTTTTCTGCTTGGCATCCTCCAGTTTCCCTCGTTCTCAGGAAAACAAATCCCCAGAGCTGTCAGGGTGAGGCCTCAGCGACCACGTACTTGCAACTGGCAAAGCGGACGAGTCCATCTGAAAAGAGGTAAATCCGCAGAGGATCGTAGGAGGTGACGTAAACATAGATTCGCAGATCGAACTTGCTGCCGCTGATGAGGTAGGGTTTGTGTAGATACCTAAATAGGGAAGGGCCAGCTTTAGGGACAGGACCGGTGGGTAAAACAGCAAAAGCCAGTCAACAGTCCCCAAGGCAAAGACCTTAAAACCGTTGGCTGACGGAGGTCGATGGCTGGGAGGACAAAGGGCAGAAGAACACTCACTATAAAAAGGGAACCTCCAGGCTGAGGAGATGGGAGAATGAGGAGTGGGATGTGAGCTGGAGACGGGCTCACCTCTGTACCAGGAGGGGCCTTCGCTTGGGGAGCTGACTCCACTTGTGAATGACCTGGATGCCAATGCCTCGGGCTGACGCTGGCTAGAAGTCAAGTGGAAGGAGATGAGCTTTGCTGCCGGCCCAGTACGCCATCATCCACACTCTCAGACCACAGCCCGCCGCCCGCCGCCCGCTGCAATCCACCCACTGGTTTAACAATCCACTTCTGCCGGCTGCTGCTGTCCCAGGCTTTGCGCAGGAGCTTGGCGTCCTGGGGCAGGATGAAGGACTGGGGGAAGAAGCTGAACTCCTTCTTGCCAAAGCGGCTCTGCATGCGAGACAGGTTCCGCCATAGTCGGTCCTTTCGCCCAATCTGGAAGGAACCTGGGAAGTGGTTTAGCTACAGAAGGGACAAAGGGTGAGAGCACGGAGAGGGCCCAGGTGAGGCCAGGAGGAAGACAGCAAGGCTCACTGGTGCCCTTCCAACTTCCTTAGCGACACTCTGAGCTCTTGATCCATCTTTACCATCACCATCTGATGGTAAGTACTCCCTTGCGGAGCACTCACCAAAAGATGATTAAAACACAAACAAAAAAACACCAAAATGTAGTGCCCCCGAGGAGTTGATAGCTCATGAATAGCCAGAGAACCATGATTAAGTCAGACATGATATTCCCCTTAAGTGTCTTTTGCCGTGACAGTCTGTAGGGCAAAGACAGGAAAGCACCTGGCCTTCATGAGGTCTGGGGGCAAGGGACTCCTTTGTCGCAACATGAGACCAGGGTCCTCTTTGTGCATATCCAGCTTGGAGGACCAGAGGCAATGCACAATGGTCACAGGAGAGATATGAGTCATGGGAACACATGCCACATCTCATGACACACCAGAGGAGAAAGTGTCTTTGGGAGGCGGCAGCTGCGCCACTAGACGTACGTGACCCGCCAGGGCCCCGCTGCCCCCTCCTCCGGGACCGCCTCTGCTCCTCTGTGCACGTTCCTGGCTTCTCCGCGGTCATCCTCCTCTTGCCCCCCTGCCCACACCAACCTCCTCCTGCCTGGTCCGAAGTCCAGGGGAAGGGCTCGCCAGAAAGGACCCCTACCTTCTGATGCTCCCGAATGGATCGGAAACTAGGAGACTTCATGTGGTGACCCCAGCAGCCCAGCCAGTCATCATTTCCTACAGAAGGCACATCAGGGAGTCAGTCCTGCTAGCAGCTCAGTCCTTGGGACAGAGAGGCTCAGAGGCCCCAGAAATACCACCAGGCCTGGGCACAGCTCCCAGACCCAGTTTTCTAAGAGTCGCCATGGAGCTGTCCTACATGAGACCCTGGGGTCAGGAAGAGAACAATGGCTGTCTTCTAACTCTGAGGACCAGGCTCCAGCCCAGATGGACTTCAGAGCCATGTCTTCCTAGGAGGTGGAAACTCCAGGTCAGGGTCCCCGCAGAGCAGGAGGGACCTAGGGCCCTCCTCCCGCCCAGAGCCCATCTGTCGGGGCAGAGGACAGGCTCGCAGTAAGGCAGGTGACTCACTCTTGCTGATTTTGAAGTGGGACCGTCCAATGGTCTGCTTGACAATGTTGGGGGTCACTGTGCTCATCTTCCACCGGAGCAGCTTCCTCTGCTCCCAGGGAAGTTTCTCCACTGGGGAAAGGGGATGGGGGGTGGAGAAGAGCAGGAGAGTCAGCGTTAGAAGGGGAAAGGCGGCACAGGTGCTCAACCTCATGAGGGAGACAAGTCACTAAGGAGTGTTCTAGGCCAGAGTTTCAAAGGAGCACCCTTGGTGGGAAAAATGGCGGGTTGAGGAACACGGACAGGAGGGAGGTTGGAAGGGAGAAGAAACGAGGTTAGGTTATGGGGCTGACAAGGGTCAGCTCAGGGACAGACACGGAAAAGTTCCCCATATCAGACTGGGGAACCAGGCGGGGAACAAAGCACCAGACAGGCCATTCTGGAAAGCCCCTTGCACCCTACTGCCACCTCCTCCCAACTTCGCTAGCATCCTTCTCCTGGGGGCACTTCTGGGCTTAGACACTTGGCCGGGTTTACCTCTCTCATCCCGGGTGCCAAAATAGATGGTAGGGGGCACGTTGGGAAAGAGGCTGTAGATGAGGGCTGGCCGGACAATTTTCTCAGTGGAGAGGGGTTTGGTCAGAATCTCCGCACAGCTCCTAGGATGCAAAACAGACGTGTGGTAGAGAAAGGGGAGGCCACAGCCCTGAAGTGCTGTTACTCCGTCATTTCTTTCAGGGTGCGGTCTTCTACATTGTGATTCTACAAAGACAAGTACTCAGTCATTATTTTGCAAACAGGAATCCATCCTGTGCCAGGGCCAGCACCGTTACATGTCACCTAAAGACCAGACTTTCCAATACTTCCTTCTGTGATACAGCTCCAAAATTTCTGGTGACAAGCCACAGGCAGGGGAAGCCCCTGGAGAGAGTGGTTCTGAGAGCAGGTATGCGACACTTGAACAAAGTGGAGTAAATGAGGAGCAAAAACAATTGATATGGACAATGAAAAATAAGGAAGAGCAGAAAAGACCTAAGAAGACGTATACAGAGTTTTAAAAAGCAAAAGGAAAAAAAAGCAACAGAAAGGAAAGAAATAGGGATACTTCTAATTCATTTTATATTTAGGCTAATCTGAAGATATGCAGATGATGAAGGCTCTTCTCCATTTTGGAAATGACCCGGGACATCAGGTTTTTATGTAACAGTGTGGTAACACAGGACTGGGAATCTGGGGCAGATGGCTCAGCCAAGGCGATCTCAAAGGCTCTCTAAAAACTGAACACTTCAACTATGTACCAGGTACAAGCGGACAGACCCAGACCATGTCTTTAAATAGCACTGGGAAAGAAGAAAACAGTTATTACTCTCTCTACTGAGCTGACATGACCCACAAAGACTACTATTTAAGATTAATCTTTAGCTTATAAAGAGCCATTCTACCTGTTATTTTCCAGGACAACATAAAAAGGCACCAGTATGGAAAACATTTCAGTGTTTAAACTCTTGAAGATTTTTAAAGAGTGTTACTGGTTCAAGTTAAATACTAATTCTCAGTTAAATAATTCCAACTCTTAATTCCTCATCCAAAATATTTTATTTCGAAGGCTTTTAATTTACAGAGTATTAGAATTTAAGATTGCTGAAAATCAAGGAGTTAAGATTTAGAAACAAAGACAAGATAGGAATGTAACATGGTATGGCCATTAAAAATTAAACATGTGGGGTGCCTGGGTGGCTCAGTCGGTCAGCTAGGTCATGATCTCAGGGTTGTGAGATCCAGCCCCGCATCGGGCTCCACACTCAGCTCGGAGTCAGCTTGAGATTCTTTTCCCCTCCTTCTCCACCCCCCTTTGCTCCTCCTCCTGCTAGTGCTCACTCTCTCAAATAAATAAAATTAAAAAAAAAAAAAAAAAGAACAAAAAGACTAAATATGCAACTACCACACGACCCAGCAACTGCACTCCTGGACATGGATTTCAGAGGGATGAAGACTTATGTTCACACAAAAATATGTACATGAGGGTCGCCTGGTTGGCTCCATTGGTAGAGCCTGTGACTCTTAATCTCGGGGTTGGGAGTTCAAGCCCCACGTTGGGTGTAGGGATTACTTAAAAAGAATAAAAAATTAAAAAAATATATGTATATGATGGTTTACAGCAGCTTTATTTGTAATAGCCCAAACTGGAAGTAACCCAAATATCCTTCAACAGGCAAATGTACTGTGGTACATACATCCACACCACACAACATTGCTCAGCAATAAAAAGGAATGAAAAACCTCAATGCATGCAACAACCTACGTAAATCTGCAGCAAATACGCCAAGTAAAAAAAAGCTCATCCCAAAAAGTTACATACGGCAATCATTCTATTTGTATAATATTCCTGAAATGACTAAATTATAGACTAGATTAGTGGTTGCCAAGCATTAAGGAGGGGCTAGTCATAGGAGGGAAGTAGGTGTGGCTATTAGGACAACAGGAGGATTCCTGCAGTGATGTACATATTTGTATCTTGACTAATATTACTCTCTTGGTTATACTACATCACCCTAGTTTTGTCAGATGTCACCACTGGGGGAAACTGAGTAAAGAGTTGAGGGGATCTCTGTATTATTTCTTACAACTGCATGTGAATCTGTAATTGTCTCAAAATCAAAAGTTTAATTAAAAAAAAAAAGGGCAGAAAATCTTTGTTAGCTGCCTCTCAAGAGTACTAGACTGATCATCCTCAAGAGGCCTGGCTTCTGGTCTAGAAGCTGGAAACTATGGCCCCACAATAGTTAACTTCTCTGATCCTCAATACTCATATCTGAAAAAAGAGTCTGGACTTAATGACCTCCAGCTCTACAATTAAGTGATTCTTTGAGAAAAAGAATATGCAACAGGAAAGACAATAAACTATTGCTAGGTAGAGAAACAGAGACAGTGTTTTCAATGACTTTCTAAAATTGTCAACTTTTCTATAATAAAATATATGCATCTCTCACAATTCAGAGAAAATGATTTTAACAATTCAAAAGTATTTCTGATTTTAGTCATCCTTAAAATGCAAAGTGGTTTGGAACTCATCAACCACCATTTGTTTGAAAATCCATTTAAGCCTGTATAGACAAGGACAGTACATCTTGTAGGAGTTAAATTAACCAAAAAACAAATTATAAGTAAACACCGTTGGTGAATTTTATCTTATAAATCAGAAAAGTTAAGTAAAGGGCCATGCAGCTGTCTCAAAAGAGGCCTGAAAGACAAACCTAGAGCACCCTTAAGCATGGAAAACATGAGACTCCAAGTCAATCATGTAATAAGTATCCTTCTCTTATGGAGAGTAGAGGTCCTCAGGCAACATCCAGATGTACCTTTGTTCTTCTGGAAGGAGGACAGGTTAGGCTCAAAGTAACAGAACTGAGGCACCAGACTCAAGGTACCTAAGACAGGATTTCTATCGCCCTTCACAGAAAGTCCTAGTTCTGTCTCTCCACTTTGCAAACAGCTCCCCCTCCTTGCTGGCTTGGAGCTTTGACACTGATGCAGTCACCTCCACCATCACACGCCCAGAGCTGCGTGGACAAGGCCACATTAACCAAAGCATGGAAGGCTCCCGGTTGCCTTGGCTTCATCTGAGGCACAGCGGACGCAGAGAAAAGCAAGCTGAGTGCGGGTGCTACGTATGACAGGTATGGGTTAGCCTTGACACAGGTGGCTTTTCATTAAAATGAAGAGACATTTTGCATGAAAAACAGAACAAAACTCACCAATTGTCAATACTTGTACTTTGGGGGTTTTTGTTTGTTTTTTTTACATTTTCAGTAGAAGTTATTTTTAAAAAGAAAAAAACTTTAATGTTTAGTTGGGGAGGGGAGTTCTTTGTAATATTTAATAGACCAATATAATGAGGCAAGGTGGGAAGCGGTGAGGGGAACAAGATTATGTTGAAGCGTGTTAACTTTCTACCCGAAAGATGGCATATATGATCCTTTAGCCAGTTCCAAGGATCTTTAGCACAATGACACGCCCTCATTTATTGTAACTTCCTCACAGTCCTGCATTCCTTCCTCTCCCCTGACTCCCCATCTCAGTTATGCAGCATCCTCCAACAACCTGTTTTGTAAAGGAAGGGCCTACATGAAGAGACTTCCATTGGTCCTTGTTTGAAAACTAAAGTCCCAAATGTAAAAATCTGGTAAAAATGAGTTACGGTTAATAGGGCCATTAATGACTTTATAATCTTTTTTTTTTTTTTTTAAGATTTATTTATTTGAGAGAGAGTGCAAGTGAGCAAGCGGGGGGTGGGGCAACGGTAAGGGAGAGAATCTTCAAGCAGACTCCCCACTGAGTGCGGAGATCATGATCTGAGCTGAAACCAAGAGTCAGCAGCTGGACCGACTGAGCCACCCAAGCGCCCCTCTCTTTATAGTCTTAAAGAGAGAGCAAATGAGCCTGTACCAACGATCGACACAACACTCACCGAGAGATCACTGCTACTGACTCGCTGGTGGAGACAGCACTGAATGAGGAACACTCTGAGTCTCCTGGAGGGGAAAGAGCAGAGACGTTCCACTAAGAGAGGCTGCTACAAAACCCACCAAGCCTAGGCATCTCTCCCTTGGGCATCTTGGCTCAGCCTTCCTGCGGAGCCACGAGCGCCCCCCTGCCGCCTTGCACTGCCTTCCGTGAGCTTGGCAGTAGCGCAGAGAAAAGAAGACTGGCGGACCGCAGGGCTAGTGAACCAATTTCCCAGAAGCCACTACCACCCTTACCCCCACAAGGCAAATGATTATGGTAGGGGGTAAAGTGAGTCAAGGACCCAGTATACAACTGTCAGCCCCCTTCCCGCGTGGGTGGTGACCACTTCCCAGTTGGAGGGGAGAGGGTCCCTTACTCACCCTCTTCCTCTTCGTTCTCATCATGGCTGCAGCAGTCCTCCAAACCATCTACTAGCTCTTCTTCTAGATCTTCAGCCTCACCCAGGTCTAGCTGGGGGTCTGCAGGTGAACTATAAGAAAGAATCATGCCCCAGCCCAGTCCGTAAGAGAGAGGTCACACCTAGATTCTCATTCCTTCATCACCTCCCAGTGTTTGTCTCCTCCCCACTCACCAACCTGCCGTCTCTTGCCCGGATCTCACAACTCATTTTTCTTGCCCTCAGAGCTTAGGTCTAGCCATAGTTCCTCAACCCCACAGCCCCTGTTGTGCAGAGAGGCACTCTGTCTCCCATCTTCTCTGAAGTCCCTCCACAGCACTTCAGTGCAAAATTCTGAATACAAAATACCATCGATGAATGTCTGGTAATTGACTTCACAGGTCCCTGGACCTCTGGGAATTCAGAACAAGGCCTTGGTGGACCAAGGTTCCAGAGAAGTAACAAGGCACAAGAGAAGGAGCCAGGTTTGTGTATGCCCTAACTCTGAAATGGCTCTGAAACAAGGAATGACAGAGAGCCTGATGTGGTTTGAAATTAAGTAGAAAAGTCACAGGCCCCAACGTTTGGTATTATTTCTTCCTGGTTATAACCTAAAGCAGGGTCGGCAAACTCCTTCTCTAAAGGACTAGATAGTAAATCTTTTCAGTTTTGCGGGCCATTCAGTTTGGTGCAACTACTCACCCCTACCACTGTAACAGGAAAGTAGCCACAGACAGCAATAAACGAATGGGTGAGGTTGCGTTTCAATAAAACTTTATTCATAAAAGCAGGCAGTGGGTAAGATTTGGCCCACATGCTGGTCTATGTTTGCCAACCTCTGCCCTAAAGTGAAAACCAAAATTCCAGGGCAGCCAAAAAAATAAAACCACCTTCAGAGACGTAGGGTCAGTGTCACCAAATTATGGTGTATACATTCTATTGCATCTAAAGGAATCAAAAACTTTCTCTAACTTACCCGATATCCCTAACAGGGCAGTCCAGTCCCCTGGCTTCCTTAGGCCCCTCCTTCCCAAGCTGGCCCAGATGGATGGAAGAAAGGCGGGTGGCCACATCAGCTACACCAAGCAGCTGAGGAGGAGAAGGCAGAACGGGAGTTTTGTCTTCTCCAAGTGGTAGGGAGTCCATCGCAGATCCACAGGCAGGGCTGTGGCTGAGCGCACTGGCATGGGAGGCAAGGAGGTGAATGCTGATGCGTTTGGTACAGAAGACTGTACTGTCCAACTCCAAGGTGTCCGAGGCGCTAGGGGGGATCCTACTGTTTGCTCCAGCATCCTCCTGCGGGAATTGCTGGCCTACCACGGGAGGTCTCCACTGCCGGGTCCTGTTGAGATCACACTGCAAGCCGGGGCTCAGGAAACAAGACTGTTCAAACTGGCAGCCTTGCCTTGGCTTCTTCTCAAAGCCTCTTGCAGTCAACTTCCTCACGGCCTCGGTGAACCGAACCTCCTTAGTCAGAGCCTGAGGAACCAAGTCGCCATCCAGGCCACAAGGATGTGGCTCTGCTCTTGCGGCTAAGTTACTGCGGTTGTACTGGGAAGAGGCAACACTGGTGGTCAGAGTGTCGAAGGAGCGAGGTGCGGACAGGGTGCTAGGGGCCGGGGCGTCACCTGGGACAGTGCCGTTGCTCTGGGGCACCTTGTGCTCCACGGGCTGGAGTGCACAGTCTCCGGTGCCCCCTGAATGATGCCAGGGGACGAGATGGGCCTTGGGTGAGGGTACTGTATTCAGGCCCTCTGGGGCCTGCGATAAAGGCACTTTAGTGCTATTTGGCCGCAGGAAGGAGTTGTTATTCAGCATGGGCTTGTAGGAGGAGTGGGGGGAGGCGAGCGGAGACGGGATCTTCCCTGAGATGGCAGAGGCCAGGCTCTTCCCCGAAGGGTTTTCCCCAGCCGCGCCCAGTGAGAGGTACGGATCTGTGGAGGACGCCATGGGCTGGGCCATGGGGGAGACCGTGAAAGAAGGGGCCTTACTGGCAGTGAGTCTGACAGGGAGGCTCTTTGGAGGGAGAGAGAGAGGTCTCTTTTCCGGCAGGCTGGAGCGCAAGCAGAAGGACTCCAGCTGCTGGTAGGGTCTGTGCCCGTAGCCGGCGCGGCGGTCCAGCAGAGTGCCGCTGAACAGGTCTGGGAGGGTGTGCAGGGAACGGGAGCCGCTGCGGCCCGCGATGACAGCCGAGCGCCCTGAGCTACACAAAGCACCGGGGCAAAAGAAATACGCTGGCTGGGTTGGGACACCCAAGAGGCCGGGGCCCAACCCTGCTGACAGTGTCCCCACGTGCTTCCGCTCCAGCTTCCAGATTGGCTTCACCTGCTGATGGGCCTGCGCGCAGCCTCTGCCCTCAGAGGGCTTCTCCGGCGGCCGCGCGGGCACCGAGCCGGAGGGGCCGCTCTGCTTGAAGCTGGTTCCCTGGCGGAGGCCAATACTGTAGTGCTCTGTTCCTGCGGAGGCCATGAGGGGCCCCCATCATGGCCGCGTGGCCTCGTGGCCCAACTCGGAACAGGTGCCACGCACCTCCGGTAGCCGCGGAGGCTGCATTCTCGAAGTCCGTCAGCCTGGAGGGAAGAGAAGCCGTTGGGAATGTTACTGTCCCGGGAGGACAGACCGCATGCTACGGCGGTCCTCAGTGAAGCAACGGAGCCCCACCTCTGTCCCCCCCCAGGGCAGCCAGCCATGGCTGTCACTTAGGAACCCCAGAGAAGAACATTAGACTCCTCCAGTGTTTTCAGCAGTCTTCCGGCTGCCCTCACACAATCAGAGCCAGCTTCATCAGGGACTGGGCCACGAAGGAGTCCACTCACAGGTTCCCACTCCCTCAGAGCTCTTTGCTCTCTCTCCAAAGAAAAATGCAGCTCTCTGTCTCACCATCCGTGACTTCACTGAGCGACTTCCTTCTCTCTCCTAATAAGGCAAGTCCGGGGGTGGCAGAGAAACCAGCCAATATCTTCCTCCTCACCAACCAATTCTGAAAGGTCAGGGGTTACTTGAGAAACCTATTTTACATCTACTCATCCCTGACCAACTCTCAGAGGCCCCTGGTGTGGTCTGCTTTTCATGGCTAGGTGTGACAAGCTGAGATAGAAGCAGAGACTTCCCCTGCTGACCTCTGGAGTTCACTCGGAAGCTGAGACACTGACTTCACCTCTCCAAGCGTGTCGCCAGCTATAATAGACTTAAATCCCATCACACGTGTTGATGGGAAAAAGAAGAAACAAAACAGAACTGGACACCAACATTATTTTTACTTAAAGTGACCTTATTTCCAGCAGCCATGGTGGGACAGGAAGAGTTCAGGGAGTAGAATACAGGGGAAGAAGGAGGAGAGCTTGCTTCACCCCAAGCCCCAGGCATCAGTTTGGGCTGACCTCAGGGGGGAGGGCCTGTCTCAGACGTTCCCTCATTCGATGTCTCCTCTAAGGCAAAACCAGCCAGTAATTCTGAGTTCCAAACAGTCTGTTAAGCATGGTCACTTACTTTCTAAATCAAAGTCACAAAATAATCTCCAGTTTTCACAAATGAGAGCATCCAGAGGGTTGGAAAAACAAGACCCTTCTATAAGAAGTCACTCATCTGGGATAATTCTGAATGGAATCCTGGCATCCATACCAAGGAAGTGTTTTTGTAGTGGCTACAGGGAAAGAATTAGCAGAGAATTTTTTTGTTCAAATTACTTCTAAAACACAAACTTCGGGGCGCCTGGGTGGCTCAGTTGGTTAAGTGGCTGCCTTCGGCTCAGGTCATGATCCCAGGGTCCTGGGATGGAGCCCGCATTGGGGCTCCCTGCTCGGCAGGGAGCCTGCTTCTCCCTCGCCCTCTGCCCCTCCCCTACTTGTGCACGAGCACGTGCACACTCTCTCTCTCAAATAAATAAAATCTTAAAAAAAAAAACCAAAACAAACAAACAAAAAAACCCCACAAACTTCAATGGGGAGAGGACCTCATATTCTGATAAGAGACTAATGGCCAAGGAAGATCCATGATTCCTGTCTACATCTATAGGAACTACTGGTGTTGTCTACCAACAGAAAGCCTGCAGAAGCCACATGACGTCACCTTCTTTTCCTGCAAAGGCTGACCTATGTGGATTCTTTCTCAAGGACAGGGTACAAAAACCACAACTCATGGCTGCCAGTATTCAACATGACAGTGGGCTAAAAACAGCCTAAGTTCTAAAACTAGATTTTGATGCCAGGAACCTTAAATTAAAGAGACAGAAAATGGACCTCCACCAAGTCCAAACCACGGAAATCCTGTGCAGGGGCTGATTACACTCCGTGCATTTATGGTAGAGAAGCAGACACAAGGGAAGAGTCAAAGCCCACCAGGGACTTTACCAGACCACATGTGTGTGTTGTGTACACCCAACAGATTCACAATCCCAACTCACGTCGTTCTGTTTCAGGAATCCATGTCTTGCCCTTCCCATGCAACCCAACAGACACACCAAAGGGATGGGAGAAAAGAGCCAAAGAAATGAAACTGCCCTGGGCGGCCTGAAAAATACCCCACTTGTGCTTCCTCACGTGCATCCCGCTATCTCCGACCTTCATGCCTTTACAAGTGCTCCTCCCTGGAGTCCTTTCCTTCTCTTTCACCAGACTTAAAAGTCATCAGCTTGTACACCCCCTTCTCCAGGTAGCCTTCCCGGACTCTCCTCTTTGAACAGGATGCCTCATCCGCGTGCAGGCCACCATCACCGCTTCTACCACACTGAACTGTAATAATGCACCACTCATCTGACCAGGAGCCACACGCTGGTTTTCTGCTAGCTCATGTCCCCAGCAGCATCTGGAATACAGTAAGTGCTCAATATTCCGTGGGATGAATAAACTGCAAAAGTTCAGTAAGTGAAGGGGAAACACACTAGCAGTGGTGAATACTAATTTGGGCACCTAACAAATGCCAGGTACCGTGCTAGGCACTTCGCCTCTGCGGTCTTATTGAATCCTCACAAAAACCTTATGCTCAATTTACTGACGATGAATCCGAGAATCAGAAAAGCTAAGTAACTCTTGTATATTTAATAATGAGTGGTGCCAAGCTTAAAACTCGAGTTTGTCTGACTCCAAATGCCTCTTAAATAGGAATGAAACACACGCTTAGTCCCTGTCCCCTCAGTTATCCTTAAGCTTCAGGGACAAGACAAAACCCAGGTTGGAAACACTCTCCCAGTTTATACTGAGCCCCGTCGGGGTTGCAGCTTGTAAGAGCATGCGTTCTCATCAGCACTGCGGCCAATCTCACTTTCCCCCGTAGCCATGGATGCCCACTGCACACTACCCTGGGGCTGGGTGAAAAGAACCCTCCCACCACGCAGTGTCTGCCTCTCTGCATTACATCACATGAATCCAGGCCAGGAATACTGAATGCAAGGGGCCTGGCATCTGGCTAGCTTGACTTCTAATCCAAATGAGGAAGAGGAAAGCAAAGAATACACTCCCACCCTCTTCAGAGGCTGCGGGTGGCCGGCTCCCAGGCAGAGTGTGAAGCAGGCCAGCTGGGCAAGCACCAGAGTCAAGTGGATTCTCCTCTCTCTGACTAACAGGATTCCAGATCTCGTATGTCTTTGCAATGGCTGTTCCCCACTCCTTGTTCCCTCCATAGTCCCCATGATGTGTAGGACGGCAGCTTAGAACAGAGCAACCTATCTCCCTAAGGAAGCATTATCTGGACACAGGGGCCAAGCAGATGATGAGACGGTTCTGTAAAAGTCTCTTTCTGGGAAAGAGCTCAATTGCTAGTAAAAGACAGCCACGGTTGGCTAATATCACTGTCAGGAACTACCGAGCAAAACAAGTCTGTCATGTCAGATAATCTACACAGAGCAGATTCGAGAACATGAAGTAAACAGTAGCACTCATAGCAGTACCACATACAAACGTTCTGCCCTGGTACCACAGTTTCTGCCTCAGAAGTAGTGTCTGGTTTAGAGGAGGAAATGGTCACTAAAAGCAACCTTCTTCCTTCGCCTTACAGAGATTCTTGATGAAATCACAACTCCATGTGAAGGGGAAGCAGGGACCTAGCTAGAAAATTCAGGCAACCTGGGTCCCAGGAACCTCTTGACTGCTGCCACAGGCCACTTTTTCCCAGATGTGGCCCTTAATAGCACTACCACTCAAGTGCCACGGAATGACCCCATCTCCCTACAGGAATGAGGAGTGACAAACTTTAAAAAGGCCTAGGTGGTCTAAAATGTTAAGTAGAGGAAATGAGAAAATAGTTGCAAAATACAGTACACTGAGAGTAGTGGTTTCTGGCCATAAAGTCAAAGTCTAGATTGCCAAATAAGGTCTGGCAGCCAGACCCCACAGATAGCTTACACCCAGAAGGTCGTTTTTCCCTGAGGTCATAAAACCTGTCCCCTGTGGTATACCCTGGGCTCCTGACACAATGTCTGGGAGATCCTTCTCCCCATCTCCCTCAAATGTCTAAGTGCACTGAGATGACACAAACTTGGTGTGTCTGTGTGTGTGCCTATAGAATCTCAGAGACGGGCTGCCCATCTCCCAGGAAATATTTTAGGATGAGACATCAAAGGCAAGAGAACAAGAAGGAAAGGCATTTATATATGTAGGAGGCCTCACAGAGGCTACTAATGGAAGCCTTGTCTTAGAAAGTGCCAACTAAGCGGCCTCTGGGTGGCTCAGTCGTTAAGCGTCTGCCTTCAGCTCAGGTCATGATCCCGGGGTCCTGGGATCGAGTCCCGCATCGGGCTCCCTGCTCAGCAAGGAGTCTACTTCTCTCTCTCCCTCTGCCTGCCTCTCTGCCTACTTGTGCTTGCATGCTCTCTGTCAAATAAATAAATAAAATCTTTAAAAAAAATAAAAAATAAAAATAAAAGAATAAAAACACCCAACTGAAGCAAACCTAAACTTAGAGTAATTGGTGATTATATAAATTAAAGGATTCACAAATCCCATTACTTTCATTCAATTTACATACACTTTTTTAGCCACATATATCCACTACTTAAAAATAAGCAAAGGCATTCATACTTACTCTCTCTGACTAAGCCTAAAGGATCCACCATCAGTTGACCCTCCAATCGACAGCTTGTGAGGAACTTACTTTAAGGAGCCAACACACTGACCTCATCTGGAAAAAAAGTATTTTGAACAATCTAACACATTTCACAGAGCTATTAATCTTATATCTTTATTGCTCCTACACATTATCCCTGGGGAATAGGAGGACTTAAGGGGTGAACAGGGGATACAAATACTATTCTATTGCCTGCAGAGTTCAAGTTTAGAAGCAAACAAGCCTGTTTCTGGTTAAGTTCCTCAATCAAGGTCCAAACAGGAAAATGCCTAGCTGAAAAGAAAGGTTAGTTTAGGGCAGAGCAGCTGAGGAACGGGTTCTTGGGAAAATTCACATAAACCACAGTGCATGGTCCACACTAAACATTCAAGGGATGGTAGTTATCAGGCTCAATATGACTGGCACCAAATGATCTCTCTCCACTCAGCCCTCTTCTCAAGCTTCCATGAAGAGGGGTGGGGAGGGGGACACACTTGGCGAAGGCAAAGAGTATTCCACTGCAAAATTTCAGCTAGTACAAATAATGTTCTTTTATAAAAAGACATAGTAGTCTTGTCATCTGGAAACATCTGTGAAATTTATTATATTACCAGTAACTGGGTTCTTCAGTGGCAGGTCTGAGTTGGCACTAAAAAACAATCGAAAAGTGCTTTGGGATATACCCAGAGAAAACCCTTGCTTCTGGCTCTTACATTTTTTATATAACTAGATGGTTGGGATTTCTGAAAACATTGGGAGAAGAGTTAAAAAGTGATTGTTACTCACCTAGTGTCTAGACCCTGATCACTACGTACCATTTGTCAATAAAAGAAACCAAGGAACTAGAGCTCCTTGGAGAACAGTTGGGGCAGGGAAAGCATCAGATGAGCCCAAGTGTCTCTTATGCTGCAAAAACTAAGGAAATTCTCAAATTGTGATAGAGACGTATCATAAGATCACAGAAATAGCTCACATCACAGCTAACAGTTAAACCCTAGACGTTTTCCCTCTAAGACTGAGAACAAGGCAAGGATGTCTACTCTCCTCATTTCTGTTGAACATTGCACCGGAAATTCTAGCCAGTGCAATAAGGCAAGAAAAAGAAATTAAATGCATGTAGATTATAAAGGAAGAAGTGAAACTATACTTACTTGCCGGAGACATCATCTGGTACATAGAAAAATCCTAAGAAATCTACAAAAAACCTACTAAAGTAAGCAAGTTTAGTAAGATTATAGGATACAAGATCAATATACAAAAACTAATTTATATCTATATACTAACAAGTAAAAAATCAAATAAAAGAAGTACACTGAAAACTACAAAACACTCCCAAGAGAAATTAAAAAGTTAAATAAATGGAGGGATATAACATGTTCATGAATTGGAAGACTCAATATTGTTAAGATGGCAATTCTTCCCAAACTGATCTATGGAGTAAACGCAATTCCTATCAAAATCTCAGCAGGCTTTTCTGGAGAAATTGACAAGCTGATCATAAAATTTATATGTTAATGGAAAAGACCTAGAACAGCCAAAAACAATTTTGAAAAAAAAAAAACAAAAAACGAACAAAACTGAACTTATACTACCTGATTTCAAAATTTAGTATAAAGTTACAGTAATCAAGATAATGTGGTATTGGCATAAGAACAGACATATAGATCAATGGAACCAAATAGAGTCTAGAAATAAATCCTTATATTTATGGTCAATTCTCAATAAAGTTGCCTATGCAACTTAATGAGGAAAAGGATAACCTTTAACAAATGATGTTGGAAGAAGTAGATATCCATGTACAAAAAAATGAACTCAGACTCTTACCTTACACCATAAATTAACTCAAACTGGATCAGAGACGTAAATGTAAGAACTAAAACTATAAAACTTCTGGCAGAAAACATAGGAGAAAATGTTTATGACTTTGGGCAATTGAAAAATTTTAAGAGAAAATATAACAGTCCAGCTGTTAACTAGATTATATCGATGAAGAATTTAGAAAAACACTATTGAGAGAATGAAAAGAAAAATTTACAAACTGGGAGAAAATATTTGCAATTATAAAGGACTTGTATCCAGAATATGCTAAGAACTCTCAGAACTCAAGAAGATGAAAACCAACCCAATTAATTTTTTTTTAAATAGGCAATTTTAAAGATAGGCAAAATATCTGAATAAGCATTTCACTAAAGAAGATGTATAAGTGACTAATAAGCACATGAAAAGATGATCAATATCTTTAGTCATTAGGAAAATGACAATTAAAACCACAGTAAGATACTACTACACACCCACTAGAATGGCTATAATCAAATGGATTGATAATAGGGTTGACCAGAATATGGAGAAATTAGAATTTTCCTACATTGCTGATGGGAATATACAATGATACAGCCACTCTGAAAAACAGATTGTCAGTTTCAAAAAACTGTAATATATAATGACCCACCAATTCCACTCCCAAGTATCTACCAAAGAGAAATTAAAGCATTATGTCCAGACACTTACACACATTCATAGCAGCATTTTTCTTGATAGGCAAAAACTAGAAATAATCCAAATGTCCATCAACTGGTATAGTAATAAACAAAATGGACTGCTACTCAGCAATAAAAGGCAACAACCTGGATTAACCTCAGAAACATTCTGCTAAGAAAAAGAAGCCAGACACAAAAGACTATATATTGTAGGATTCTATTTTTATAAAATTTCTAAAAAAGACAAAATTATAGAGATAGAAAGTAGATCAGTGGTTGCCTGAGGCTGAGGGTAGGAGCAAGGAATGACTGTAACTGGGAATGAGGGAACTTTATGGGGTGATGAAAGTGTCCTAAAACCAGATGGTGGGGGCACCTGGGTGGCTCAGTCGGTTAAGTGTCTGCCTTCGGCTCAGGTCTCAGGGTCTTGGGTTGGAGCCCCTGCATCGGGCTCTCTGCTCAGCAGGGAGTCTGCCTCTCCCTGTCACTCTCCCTCTATGTGCTCTCGCGCTCTCTCTCTCTCAAATAAATAAGTAAAATCTTTAAAAAAAAAAATAAAATAAAAAATAAAACCAGATGGTGGTGATGTTTGCACAAATGTACAAACTTACTACAAGTGATCAACCTCTACTTTATAGTGAATGAATCAATTGTATGGTATGTAAATTATACCTCAATAAAGCCGTTAGAGGTGGAAGGGAAAAAAAAGGACAGAGGAGCCAGCTTAAAGAGGTTCCCTCTAACCAAATCTGGGACAAACTGAGCAGCAAAATAAATGAGTATCAGACTACATAAACAAGAATCCATGAATGCATAGTGATATAAATAAATAAAAGAATGAATGAATAAATTTGAGAGAAGGAACAACGCCCCTTACAACAGAATTCCAATAAGAATAGAAACTTACCACTGGCAACCACCATGGTAATAACTGATTCAGGCAAAACTCATCAGTGGATCCTAAAATTGGTGAGTGAGAGATTACTGGGAAATGGAATAATTATATTGTCTCAAAACATCTCTCCACAAGATATTTATTAATTATGAAAGAAAAAAAAATAACTTGGGGTACCTGGGTGGCGCAGTCGGTTGAGCCTCCGACTCTTGGTTTTGCTTCAGATCGTGATCTCAGGGTCGTGAGATCAAGCCCCACATCAGCTCCAAGCTCAGTGTAGAGTCTGCTTAGAGTTTCTCTCTCCCTCTCCCCACTCCCTGCCATGTGCACTCTCTCTCTCAAATAAATAAATACATCTTGAAAGAAAAAAAAACACAGTGGAGAAACCAGGCAGACACGACCATAATCAAGTGATCAAAGTTCCTATCATCAGTAAGAGCACAAATTGGCATTACGCACACATCACCGCATCTGTGATTTCCTGACCTAAATGCACCACCTGAATTCAAAGGGAAATATCAGACAAGACCAAATTGAAGGTCATTCTACAGAATAACTGGTCTGTACTCTTCAACTGTGTCAAGCTCATGAAAGACAAAGGCTGAGGAACTATTCCACTTACAGGAGACAAAAGAGAAGACAACCAAATGCAATGTGTGCTCCTAAAACAAAGGACAGTGACAAGACAATTGACAACATCTGAATAAGGTAGGTATGATAATAACATTATAGTATATGGTATTATATCAACGTTAATTTCCTGATTTTGATCAACATACTGTGTCAGTTTAAGACAATATCTTTGTTTTAGGAAACATTAAGAAGTTTTTAGGAAATATTCAGATGTAAAGGGGTTTCATGCAATTTATTGGCAAACATTTTTTTTTTAATTTTATTTATTTATTTGACAGAGAGAGAGCACACAAGCAGGGGGAACGGCAGCGGGAGAGGGAGAAGCAGGCTCCCCGCTGAGCAGGGAGCCTGATGCGGGGCTCAATCCCAGGACCCTGGGATCATGACCTGAGCCGAAGGCAGACGCTTAACCGGCTGAGCCGCCCAGGTGCACCTTGGCAAACATTTCAAAAAACAATTCACTGTTCACATATGAACACTAAAGCAAGTGTGGTAAAATATTAACATTTGATAAATGTGGGTAAAATGGAAATAGGAATTCTTTGTACTATTTTTGCAGCTTTTTTGCAAGTCTGAAATCATTTCAAAATGAAAAAGTTTTTTTTAAAAAAAGGTTATTACTATTTTTAAAGGGAAGCTTGGTTTTTCTCAGACCAGGAGGCAAGCAGCGCACAATCACCTTCAATTCTTTGAAAAAAGACTTGCAGGAATGGATTTTACCAGGGAATGATTCCAGCCAATGAAGTAAGACTCACTCCTTGCTCCATACCTAAAAGCAGGCTTGACTGGGGACCCGCCTGTCATCACTAAGGTACATCACTAAGAACTGAAGTCACACGCCTTTCCCCAGTACATAATTCTTCTCAGTGTAGCCACCTTAATATGAACTAGCCGCCCAGCTTACTCTGCTCTAATCTGCCAGTGAATTTGCAAACTCTGGTTTAAGGGGAGTTCGAGGAGGAAGGCAAACACCAGAGCCTGGCAGATGATGTCCAAGAGCACTTTCTCTGGGGTCCATCAACACGCAATGTCGGGGGATGTCTCCAATTTTTAGGGGAGAAATGCCATTT